GTGTGTGCGTGTGAATGATTCTGTCTCCTCTTCTTCTCCTGTTCCTTCTGGTGTTCCTCAAGGCAGTGTGCTTGGTCCTCTTTTATTTCTTATTTTTATTAATGATCTACCTCTGTCGCTCCCACCTCATTGTGAAATCTGTCTCTTTGCTGCTGATGTTTTTTATGATTGTTCCTCTTTCCCCTACTGATTCTTCTAATTTTTCTCATGTTCAAAACTGTATAAATTCTGTTTCTCATTGGTCTTCTTCCAATCTCATGTTTCTAAACGCTTCTAAATGTTGTTAGCTTCCTTTCTCTTTCAACATATTTCCGTACGTTTATAATTAATTGTATCTCAATGGTGTTCTTCTCTCTGTTGTGTCTTCTGTTAGTTGTCTTGGTGTTCTTGTTTCGCACGATCTTAGGTGGAATGATCATGCCAAGGACATTGCTCTTGCTTGTCGGGGCAAGCTTGGAGCATTGAATCGTGTCTTTGGATTAGCTCCAACTGAAGTTCGGCGTCGAATCTATCTTTCTTCTATTCTTCCCAAAATTGACTATTGCTGTGCCTTGTATGATAGTTCGTTGTCTCTTACTGTTCTTGATTCTGTAAACAAACTTGCTTCTCGTATTATTTCTCGCAATTTTGACTATCGTCCTTCTAGTTCCCTACTTGTATCTCAACTTTCTCTTCCTAAACTCTCTTCGTCGTAAATACTTTAGACTTCTACAGTTTTTCAAAATTTATCATCGTCTAAGTCCTGGGGCCTGTTTCTCTTTTTTATACTATTCATCGTCCTCACTACTCATCTTTACGTCTTCATCACTCTAAATATGTTCGCGTTCCATCTTCTTTTGATGGTTTTTCTCCGCAAACGATGCATGCTTCTTTTTTTTATTAAACTATTGTTGATTGGAATAATCTCCCAGAGTCAGTTATTTGTCTTTCTTCTTTAACGTCTTTCAAAACAGCTTTACTTCAGTATCTCTTCCAGTGAAACATGTCCGTTATTAATTTATATTTGTTCTTTTTTTCTTATTTTCTTTTTAAAAAAAAACTTTTTTACTCTCTTTTTTTTCCTTTTTACTACTTCTGGTCCTAACTAGTTGTCTTGTTTATTCTGTTCTTTTTTTACTCTTTTGATGTTGCTTGGCTTGAGTCATTGTTATTACAGATCGGTGACCTTTGATGACTCACACTTTTCGTGAATAAAACAGTCTTAGTCTTAGTCTCTCATTACTCACTCTTACTCAAAATGTATGAGTAGGTATGGGTACTCGTCCGGTTTTTCTAGCAGAGTACTTTTTGAGTACTCACACATGAATACACTCACTAGGATCTGTTTTTCCAACCAAAGCATATACGTACGCTCTGTGTTTTTCCGCAAAGCGTACACGTTTCAAATCCAAAACAGAAAGCATCAGTGAGGCATCAGGAATTAGAGAAGAAAAATAGAACGCTGACCAAAGGGAGGCGTAAGTTTCGTTTCGCATTTTACATTTAAGTTGGGGAAAATACGGGCAAGATCACCGACAATCCTGGTTGGAAACACTACAAACCGACCGGAGGAACCTCGATTGTTATGTACCTATTTACTAATATGTATGAATGTCTATTGTGCACTGCACCTCGCCTAAAGTCACTGGGACCCAAACAATCGCAGATGAGCTTTACCTTGTATCGTACCTCATGTACATACAACACTTCACTACAAACACTGTCATAAATATAGATAGACATGTCATAGGCTCCGTTCCGTAAAATATCCCTATTCGAACGTTAGCCAATCCGAAAAGGACTTTGATGCACTACTTTAATTCTAACCATGTTTGCTGTGTCGCTCAGAAATTAGTTTTATCCGAATTTCTATCGACGTTGAATCAAAAGTTCAAAAAGAAATTTTGATCTTCGAAAAGGCTTGTTAAACGTTCTAATTGGTTATCCCATGGAAAAGCTTATTCTCAGACCGCAAAAGAAAAGAACAGTAATTTATGTAATGTAATGTAATAAAGAGGAAATCGGACATAAGTTCATGCACACATACTTGCTTCTAATCATAATTATACCAACTATCATATCTGTCTCACATTTTGGATTTTGTCAAAAACTAAAAAAAAAGTAATAGTAAATTGGATCACTGTGTATTCAGGACAACAGTAGCGCCATTTTTACTAACAAATAATAACGCTAAATCATGAAGGCCAAATGAATTTTTGAGGAATTATTTCGATACTTAACTTAATCAGGCTTGCTTCTTTAATGTCGTTAAATCTCATTTTAGTATCATTTTCGGCAACTATAGTCTTCCTCCTTTATCATTCCAAGCCATGTAGGAGTTAGAGCCCTCTTGAACGCGTTGTTTTGTATGATCTATGCGTGCCAAAAATGACTAATTGTCATAGTTTGTGCGTTCAATACATCAGTAGATTTTCTGCTTGTCTTGTTGTTTTAAAACCTATAAACTTGCAGACAAAATCCAACCAGCGCATTATTTTGCACTTCTACGAACATGGCATAATCGTGAGACGTGTTTTAACGCAAGAAAATACTCGTTTTTGCAGGCATAGAAGAAAAGTGAAGAGTATGAGTGATAAATTATGGGATTCTATTTAATTATACTATATGTATTCCGTTACCATTTTAGATCTCCACTTTTTAGATCAGATATTCCACTGGTAGTAATATTCTTTCTCGTTCTATCACCAACAAGTACACAGTAATGCGTTCATAATTAAACTAAAACAATGAACGTCATGCTTCCTGATTCACCTCAAATCGTTGCTATTCGTGCACCATCACCTTCTGCTCATTATGCAACTAGTGACACGAACAGTAGTACTAGTGTGCAAACACAACAGCAACAACAAATAACTTCACAACAACCATCTACACCACAACCCGTATCAGAGTCTTGGTGTTACACACAAGTCAAAGCAAGTAGATGCTCATACGTACAAACAAAAAAAGTTACAATTTTGTTTCTGTTTTCTTTCAGGTAATCAAATTCTCTTATACATGGACGATTAATAATTTTTCATTTTGTCGTGAAGAAATGGGAGAAGCGTTAAAGTCATCTTCATTCAGTGCCTGTACAAATGATAAGCTAAAATGGTGTTTACGTCTGAATCCTAAAGGTTTAGATGAAGAGTCAAAAGATTATTTATCATTATATTTGCTATTAGTAGCTGCAAGTAACAATAAGACTGAAACACGTGCTAAATTTAAGTTTTCCATATTGAGTGCAAAAGGTGAAGAAACAAAAGCAATGGAATCACAACGTGCATATCGTTTCGTTCAAGGAAAAGATTGGGGCTTCAAGAAATTTATTCGCCGTGATTTTTTAATTGATGAAACAAACGGTTTGTTACCCGATGATAAATTAACATTATTTTGTGAAGTTAGTGTAGTTGCTGATTCAGTTAATGTTTGTGGACAAACGCCCATTAATTTATTTAAAGTACCAGATTGCAGATTATCCGAAGATTTTCAGACGTTATTAGATAATCCCGTTTATTCTGATGTCACGTTAGTATGTGGTCACAAAGAATATAAAGTACATAAAGCGATTTTAAGTGCAAGATCAAAAGTATTTCAAGGTAAGATTAGGCTAAATTTCATGCTCATTTTATTCATTTTTGTTTCCTTTTAGCCATGTTTGAACATCAAATGTTAGAAAATCAATCTAGTCGAGTTAAAATTGAAGATATTGAAAGTGATGTGATGAATGAACTACTGAGATTTTTATATACAGGCAAGACGATGAATATTGATAAAATGGCTGATTCTCTATTAAGTGCAGCTGATAAATATGGATTAGAACGTTTGAAAGTTCAATGTGAAGAAACATTATGTAGTTTATGCGATAAAGATAATGCTGCTGATACACTGATTCTGGCTGACTTACACTCAGCTCAACAATTAAAACAACAAGCGATTGATTATATAAATATCCATGCTCAAGGTGAGGAATAGTTTGTTTACTCTTTATTAGTATACTAGTGATTTGCTATAGTTAACAATGAGCTAGAATGGACTCTCAAAGTGCCAATCTCAATATTTTCACAACAATATTCTGTCTTATATTTCTACATTTTATACAACAACAAACGCTTTCTAAACTGGTTCGAGCTCCTTCTTACATTAGTTGTTTACTTTTTCAGTTTAGTTTGTAGACTGACAGACTTTGAACTACTAAAAAGTAAAAGGATTTGTCTTTTGCAACAATTTAACAAGAATATGTCAGCTAACTATAGTATTTAAAGAGCACTGAAAATAATTTTACTGGATAATTTCAACAGAAATATAAAAAATATGGTTGATTTGTATATTAGGTTGTTTTATTTTAGCCATTATAAGATCTATTACACTTTAGCTTGAATTGTTTGTGTTAACAGAATTATAAATGTCTTTTTATCTGTTTTAGATGTATACGATACGCCTGGATTCCAGACTATGATACGTACTCATCCACATCTGATAGCTGATGCTTATCTAGCTATGGCCAAAGAAAAAGGAGCATGTGGTCCACCAAGAAAAAAACAACGAACAACATAACAATGGAAAAAAGTACCATGTCCTTTATTATGCAATCAGTATAGCTTTTTTTGTCATACATTGCTTTGCTAAATCTATCTGTATACGAAGAACAAGTTTTGTATTTTTTGATATTATATCCGGATATTTATTATTTGTATATATAAACTAGATGTGTTTGTCTGTGTATATTTGTTTTTTTTCTTCTCTTGAACAAAATTCTATTTGTCTGTTTCGATTATTAATGTTATTTGTTTATTTTTCCGAGGAAAAAGTGTGTCTTCTACAATATCACATTTGTAGTAGAAATAACAAACCGAAACGGCCTGTTCGGCTAACTGTCAACCGGTATAATGAAACTAGAAGTTGAATATTTTTAAAAACTAATACCGCCATGTTGTCGAGCACTCTCTCTTACATAAGGAACTATAATTTGTTTCATTGTATCATGGATGGAACAAGAAAAAATAAAGCCCAATCAGAGTCGTTCATGAATTCTAATTACAGGGGCTAATTATGTCGTCAGTAAACAAAAATGCATGTAAAGAACGAAAGAAAGGCTTTATTTACAAGTATTTGGTATGAAACAAATCTACAGAAGTTAGGCTTTATTTTGGCCAACTTGTTTACATCTTAGGTCTTATTGTTTAGTTAAAACAGTATTATCAAAATCTCCTCCAAATGCAGCGCGATTGCGTTACCAAAAAGCGCTTTTAGTTTATTTTGCGAAAATAATACAGAAATTTTCATCAGTTCGCTACTGATCTATCGCTAACTTTCGACGCGCTATCGGATGTACGCTTTTGTTTTTTTTCATCCAGTTTTTCTGTTTGAAAAAATGGTAACGCAACATCTGAGGAGAAAAAGGCGTGTTAGATGAGAAAACTATCTTCGAAATGCCCGATTGTATTGAGTTGTCGTTTGGTTTATAAGGGTTTCTCGATGTGCTCTTTAATTTGTTAAGCGGAAAGTTTTGCCCAAAATGCTCTGAAGTAGGGATTCTAGAAAACTCTGATTTTGGGGTTACCTGATCCAAGTAAAAAGCATTTTTAAAAAAAATGGACGATGACGAACCATTTTTAATAACATACTCGGATTCAGCGTCGAATGATAAACATTTGAAAAAGAAGTAAGTCTCCAGTTCAAAATTTTAATTTTTAAATTACATTTGAAACTTCAAAAATTTAACTTTTTCTAAAATTAAGTTATGTCGGCTCAGATAAGTGGCAGAGACTTGGTTCAAACGCTATTAGATAGACAGTTAAAACTAAACAACCGTAGAGATTTGACAATACTCCCGTATCACGTGATCTTGGTTTTCTATGGTTTTTTTCTGAATCAGAGGTAAAAAAGTGGTAATTCTTAATTTTCTTCAACAGGGGATCGTATCACAAAAAAACTTAAGTCATGGGAAATGTAGTCTTAGAGTTAAGACCGAAAACTTAAATCGGACTTGAGCCATTGACGCATTTTTTGAATAGATCAGGCATTTAACGATACGATTCGATGAAAACGATATTCTAAGAATTAGAGGATAAATATTTGATTATTTTGCAGGTTTTTATCCGAAGTTTTTTATCCGACTTTTAAAAAGTAAATAAATCGCCAACTTAAGTCTTTTTCGTGATACGGTTTAAGTCCCCGGACTTAAGTCGGTCTAAAACTTAGACTTAAGTTTTTTCGTGATACGACCCCCAGAACTCTATGTAATAAAAATATCATATTCAGAATCAGGATCAAAAATCGAATCGATTGATATGTATTTCGAAATTTTAACTTAATTTTCATTTTCTACGGACAGGCCGGACAGATATAAACAAGCTTTGATGGTAAGAGATGATCATACGTTGTTGATTTCATAGTTCCTACTGTTAAATCATATCAAACTTGTATTGAAGAATTGAAAAGAAAAAATAAGAAATGATCTTGTCGATAGACATGTGTAAACGTGTTTATTGGTGTATTTATGTCTAGCTTATTGTGGCTAGATGCTCTTAGAAAAATATAGCTAAATATTAAAACGGGAAGCGTGGATTACTCACGAAAATGGGTAGGACACTGCGTTTCTCTTAAAGCAGACAGTTTACAGTTAATCGAATTTTAAAATACAATACGTATGACCGATCTGTTGAAACGAATAACTCTTCACTTTTTTGCTTCTTGTGGATACAATAATAGAATCCTTTCCATGCAAGCTTAGTATATTGAGATGATTGAAAGCATAGTTACTGTAAAAACTATTCATACTTGTGTTTTTCGATTATGTTTGAACGGACCACTTCTCTCGAAAAACCTTTTCGTTGAAGAAAAAAACTATCCTTTCCAATGCAAATTTTCCTAGAAAGAATAAAGAACTCATTCATTCATAGTTGATATGTTTTCACTCTATTTACAGAGCTACACATCTAAAGTTAAAAATAGATATACTTTGTTTACAATTTTTTTTAGTATCTGCAGATATTCTGACCGATGTGCACATAACTTAACTGAGAAAATGACATTTAATTTTATTATATATCATAGTTCGATGAACTAAAAACAGAAATAACGCGCAGAAGAAATCTCATCTATGACGCTATAAAAAAAACTTAAAATACCTACACAATAAGGTGTAGGAAATGTAAAAGGTAAGCAAAACATTGTTTTGGTCGAAGCATACATGGTTGGATAGAACTCGACGAAGAGATTTCGTATCTGTGGTTTTTAATTTTTTTTAACCACATTTTGGATGAGAAATCTTGAAAATACAAATTACCCCTCTAAAAATGAAAATTTGACCAATTTCGAGAAAAATGCTTTTTATTATGATAGATTCTTTATTATTCTTTATTTATTATGATAAGATTTCGCCTGGAATATAGTAGTGTTCATTGTAACCTTGTCTCTAACATTGAGTTAAGATTTCTTAGACAATTAACAGTGTTACCTTGTTTTCTAATAGTTTTGGATAATTCATCATATTTAACAGAGAACTAGGCTATATTGGATGATACTAATCCTCTGCCGGCTCGGCTTTTTGCCGATTTGGACTAAGGATGTGCGGTAACCGGTAATTTACCGTCGGTAACGGTAAAAGCCTTTTTACTGCGGTAGCGGTACGATGAATTTACCGAAAAACGAGATTATCGCGATAACTTTTTACCGAAGGTCCGGTAAATACTTTTTACCGAATTTTTCTCCGGTAAAGCTTTTTTACCGAGACAAAAAATCGGTAACGGTAAAAGAGTTCTTACCGTACGAAATTTACCGCGGTAACGATAAGATGAATTTACCGAAAAGCGAGATTACCGTGGTAACGGTAAAAATATTTACCGTTAATAAAGATTTACCGGTAAAAAAAAAGTAAAAAGATTTACCGGTTACCGCACATCCCTAATTTGGACCGAGTATTCTTTGTAGAGTTGCGACAAATCAGATGGCCAACAATACTAAGAGCGGCAAGCTGAGAGCATCTGATCATACAGACTTTAATTTCGATTAAAGTCTGTATGATCAGATAAGTGAAGGATAAAAAACTGGCTTATCCACCCACTTACTTTTCGACCTATCTATTTTAACACTCTTCCAGTGTATGTGCTGAGTGTAAGGTACCCGAACAGGTACTTTGCTACCGATAATGTCGAAAAATGTTTTAGCATTTCAGTACCTTTACTACTCTAAGGTACTTTTTCGGTATCTGTCTAGTACTCTAGTGAACTATGTTATGGTGTTTGACTATCTAACAGGATACCATGGCAACATATTTTCACATAATCAGTCAATTTTTTATTAATTATTTTAACCCTTTCCAGCCGACTGTTTCGAGAACACAGCAAAAAGTGTTGCCAAATGGCAACATCAGGCTGGAAAGGGTTAAACAGGCTATCTGCCAGTGATCACTTTGGTACTTTTGTGGAGCAGCTGTGTCCAGAGAGTCATTTGCGTGTGAGAGAAAAGAACTTCATTTACTCCTATCTTTATAATATATATTTTATATAGTTTAATAAAGTATGAATCAACGAAATATTGATTTATGAGATTAAAATTAGAATTTATGAAAAAGCAAGGATCACGGGATAACACATTTGACTATGATACTGCTAAGATAGATTTGTGTTTAGAAAAACTGATAAAAAAAAAGTTAAATGCACTTATATAAAAACATATGTTAGCCTTTCAACAGAAACAATACAAATTTTGTCTGATTTTCGAGTTAATGTGCTTATCGTTTTCGGTTTTTAAATTTGTCCGAATAAATAAATACTTGAAATAATATAGCAATGTCAATGGCAATTTGTAAAGTACCGCATAACCAAAATTGTTTTGGTGCTTTTCGAATAAGAAAATAACTTGTTTTAAATATATCACCACTGGTCCACATCAATACCATTCCGATGCTCATACCATCTGTTGATTTAAGACGATAATTTCTTAAAAACTGAGGTATACCTAAGAGTGCTTCGAAGAAAACAGCTAGAAAACCAATTGTCTCTATATAAAACTTATTATTAATAAATGCCCACGTTACAGCACCTAAACAGAATGACCAATGTCGAATTTAACTTATTGAAATCAACAGAGAAAGCTGTACATACTTATAACAAACGCAAATAAGCATAAAAATTGGATGTAACTACCGAAAGTAGTCCATTTCCAGAAGTAATCAATTTCAAAATCAGTAAATTTTTTATCGCCTGATCTTGGTAATATGGCGCCTAATTGCTGTCCTGCTTTATACGACTTTGTATGTACTCGCGTCCATAATTCAAGCATAATCAGCATACATATTATCATTATAATCGATTGCAACAGCAAAGGCGTTTCAAAATGTTTGCCAAACCAAAATTCAATTCGAATTATATTTGCTATTAATAATGTTAAACAAACATAATTTGAGAAACCTAAAATAAAACTAACATATTATATACGTGTGCTAACGTAAACAGTGCGCTATTTACCTTCAGCATTTTGCGATCGTTTAATGATTAAATATTGTGGAATATACGGTATCGCACCGCCAAATATCATTAATGCTTGAGCAAATATGGAAAAAATCGCGGAAAATATTGAAGCAAAGTTAGACATGTTAACGATATCAAGATTAAACATCGACGCCAAAATTGAAAATGTGGTGATATTGATTAATGTTGTTTCATTGTGAGATACGGATGATGTATTCTGGCTTTGATTATTCGATTTTTCTGGGTTTGAAGGATGAAAAAGACTGTCAAATTTTGATATGAAAAATAATGACTTCAAGGCACTATTAGAAGTATGATCGTTGATGATAGTTGTTGCGATTGAATGTTGTTGTTGTTTTTCACAACATGTAAAGTTAGCAGATATTAATAAAGCAAGAATAAGTAGCAACAAAGCACACAATGAACTGTTGTGATAGCTAAAAAAATCCAAAATAGAGAAGAACAATAACAACATGAAAAAGGAATAGTTACAAAACACACAGTCAAAGAGGATAGAGAATAAAAAATTCAAACTGGACTGGTGAGTTGGACAGACCTAATGGATGAGAAAAACAATAAATTTTGTTGTTGAAAAAACAACAAAATGCAAAGTATCAAGTTCATCACGGTTGTATAAATGCACTTACAAAGTTATACACTAGTTCATCTTAAACAGTTCAATGCGTTCTTGTTTATAGCCACTAAAGCTTTGTTTCGATTCGATGTATCCGTACTGAATGTGTACGAAAAATATTGTAGGTAGTAATTAGACAGTTAAAGGTCTAACAACTAAATGTTACACACAAAGCAAACACCTTTGTTTTAGATTTTTTGGCGTTTAATAGAGTATCTCAGCATAAGTGTTTCTAAAAAAGGTGTGTTTGTTCACCTCTTCATGTCATGCTTATAGGATTAAGTCAGCACGCAGATAAAACAGGTTAATAGAGAAAAACACAAACTATACGATTTTTATATGTTTTTTAAAAATCTACTTACATGTGTGACATATAGAGAGACTGAAACATTATCAAACAGTATATTTATCATTAAAAATAAATAAACTTCAGATGTATGAATTTCGGCAGTGAAAAGACAACAATACAAAAAACTTGTGCTATCTTTACTTACATTTTATATAAATATTAATATTGAATCCAAGCTTGTATCAAGCTACAATTAATAAAAAAATATACAATGAAACTCATGTTCAAAAAAGAGTACAACAATTTTTGTTTCAACAAGAAGGTTAACATGCGTTCTGAGACTCAATCTACAAAAACGTGTATTTATGAGAAACCGTCAACTGAATCTTTGTAAATGTTTCTGGCTGGAGAGTTGAAACTCAAGAATTGTTTTCATACGGAACATTACAAAGTAGCAGAGAAAACCGTTGTTTCTCTACTCTAGTAACAAAAAATATACACTTTCACCGATAGAAAACATTCGTTGTTGATTTATATCATCAGTCAACATTATCAATTATTATAGTTACTTATTATGATAAGTTTCGTTATACGTGGCTGGTTTCTTCTTCTTTTAGCAGAAAATAAAGGTCCAGGATATATCGAGTTGAAGCACACTTTTTCATTGGTAAATACTCTACAAAAGGGAAAGAATGAAAATAATGTCGCAGAAGTATGTTTCTCGTTTAGAGATCGAAGAAAAGGAGAGAGAAACTAATCGACTTTTATACAGTTATATTCAAATTTTTATCTAGATCATGAATATAAATTTTATTTTGAATAAAAAGCCTTTGATAATTAAAAATTGACTTTTTTATTTTGTTCTCTACTCTGAACTAATCTATGATGCAAAAGTAATTAATTGGACACATGTCGAACATTATTTCTACATGTTCCCGATATGCTAGAAAGTTAATTATTTTTTCGTTTGAAAAACAAAGTCTGATCTTCAAAAAACATACCCAAACTTTTTGTGGTTGAGGTTAGTGAAAAAAAATTTGAAGCTCAAGCGCCGCCGAAAAAGATCTTGTAGCGTGCCTTTTTCTTTACTTCTTCTCCTAGTCGAGAGTCCCGGCAGAAGTCCCGTTTTGTAAAAAAACTCCCACGGGAGTTTTTTTCCCAAAAAATCCATAGGGAGTCCTACGGGACTCCACAAAAAGTCCCGCGAGGGGTGCCATGCACAAAAAATTTTATTTTTTGAAAAAATCAGTGTGAATAAAGAGGCAGGTAGTAAATTCAGATGTACACAGCAAATTCAGCTCTCTGTTCCCTTATCTAAGTAGGTCTCATTTTCGCTAGTCACAATGTTACACTATCGGATTTTTGGACAAGTTTTCTTTTGAGTAGAGATCAGCGGGGTCCAATTTTGTAGCCCTTCCCGAAGCCCGAAGTTTTTCTTTTACATGACCCCGGCACCGACCACGAGGCTTTTTCCTTTGTGATCCCGATCCCGACCTCGGAAAAACCCGAAAATTTTCTATCCACGAGAAGCATCGTATGCACATGGCGACATTTTGGTAGAGACATGGAGTGTATTATCTCTATCATTTCCTTTTGATTTTCTTTTGTTACAGCAGCTTTATATTTTGATGATCAGATTATCTGGTTTTGTTTGTTTATGTATCCATTTACTAACTGTGAAAATAAACATCCTTCTAATATAAAATAACGAAAAGCATTTGCCGGGGTATACCGGGGAATGTTCTAAATCCCCGACTCCGATTAAGACCCCGAAAATTTTTCTTTTTCAGCCCCGGCCCCGACCCCACCTCGCCGGGGTCGGGGTCGGGGACCGGAGTCAGCGTTCAATGTCGAATTCTCCATAATACCAGTAATTAATTTAAGTTTCGCGTAGACCGTCGTAGATGAAACTCAGTCTCACCAGGCCTAAGATAGATTCCAACAACGAACGCCAACATATATCTTTTTAAAAAAGCTATATGATACTGATAAAAGAGCGGAAAAAATCGAGAAACGTAAGAAAGAGTGAGAGAGAGAAGGATACTTCTCAAAAACATCGAAACAAACGTTAACATAAAAACCACAAGAAAATAATGTGTATTTTTCAACAGAAATTATGAATACGTGCTGGAAATGTTCATAACTATTTACAATGACTAGAACCACAAACACCCAGACAGATAGGCTTAAACCACTCGGGTAATAAACTGAGCAATACAGTAAAAAATAACCGGTTTCAAATATATACCGTCTGTTGAATGAAATCACCCTTGATCGAACAGCTAACCAATTAACAGTATTGTTTTCTTATTTAACGAGTTTACAACCAAGTTGAAGAGCAGCTAATGCTACACATACACCATCATGACATGATTCACAACCATGATGCTGTCCTTTTGGCTGGCCAAAACGACGATAATGATTTGGTTGCACTTCTGGTACATGTAATTGAGGATAATATTTTCTCCATATAATAACAAATGCATTACGTAATACACGACAGACTTCTTCTAAAAACATGAAGCAAAAAAAACACAGCTATTAATCTTTTTTCATATAAGTTGAATCGAAAGCTAAAATTACTCTCTCAAGAGCGCCATAAAAATTAAAAATTTTGTAAACAGTGACAGAACTCGACAGGTATTAATTTTACTGGTTTTCGTAATTAGAACACTTGAAACGGAACTTGAAGTCTGAGTTTGCCTTCGTACACTCAGCTAAGGCTTTACTAACACTAACAAAAAGGTCTATTATGGTAACGTAAGAGATACCTATTATTGTGTACTGTGATCCAAAACTAGTATAAAGAATCCTTTTCTACGGTTTTTATGTAAATTAGAAAGATACCTTTCAACAAATAAAATGACCATTCTTCTTACCTGGATACCAAAGTGGACTGTTTACGTGATTACATTGATCACAATTTTGATTAAATAGTTTAAAATAGAGTGTTCCTTGCGATGCTGATTTATTATAGATATAGAAGAATGATATTTGTCCACGCATAGATGTCCAACAATGACCACATTGTTCACATTCATATCGAACTTTAGCTATTTCAACATCACAATCACATTCTGTAGGCAGTTTTAATGAACCGTCATATAAAACTGGCATTAAAATCCATATATCTGGACGAAAATATCTGCCAAATGTTAATTCAAATTCAGCATGAAATACGAAACACATATCGGAACAAAATTGCTTTTTTTCATCATTGGAAATTTGTGCCGCTAAACAATAATCGTTGTCTGTTAATGATTTTTGGTCTTCCTCTTGTTGTTCAGATTTTGTTTCTTCGACAGTTGTGGACGGTGTTGGTGATGTTAAACCTGAACAATTTGTTGAACTAAGTAGAAAATCACCTGAATCCGATTCAGCTTCTGATAATCGTCTTGTTAAATCATGAAAACCTTCGTCCTCGTAGGTTGATGAGGAACAACTTAATCCATGACGACGTTGAGATGAAAGAGATTTGATTGATGATTTACGATCAACATCACAACGAATACCAACATTAGCTTGAACGGTATCGATTGATACTGGAGTTTCACGAACCATGATTATTATTATTATTATTATAGGTCGTTGAGTAGATTACGTTTTTAGTACGAGTTAATAATTTGTTACATATATGCTTGATTCTTGTCAGTCTTTTATTTATATGTATGTACGTGTCGATTTTCTGTTTTTTCTTGTTTCTTCTGTTTTTTTCTTTGACTCAACTCGAGTGAGAACTAGAGTGTTCCACGAGACTAGAAATGTGATGTGTTCTCCTCTTGTGTTCTTTGAAGAAGAAAAAGAGCACATCACGTTTCTGGCCTCGTGGAATAGTTCTCATTCGAGTCGAGTCAAAGAAAGAAAAAGAGAATATTATATAATCATGTACGTGATGAAAATCAAAGCATATATGTACTAAATTATCAACTCTTACGTGATGTGAGAGAGGGTTCGTATCCAGGGAACACGTGAAAAGGGCACGTGACCAACTTTAAACTTGAATTTTGTCCGAACAAACTTTAAAATTTAACCAAATTTGAAGTTTGTCCGCAACATATTTATATATAAATTGCATATAGGAACAAGTAGCTATATGTGCATCTTTTAGATGAAGCAAAAAATATACGTTTTGCCTTTCGATAAACAAAGTCGGAAAGATTGTAAAATAAATAGATAAGTTCAAAATGCAAAACATTTATTTTTTTTTATTAATGAGTATAATACTGCGATAAAGACTTTATCGTAGTATTATACTCATTGATCAAAATTTTATTACCAACTGCGTCTTCTCGGAATTTTTACATTTATTTTTGCTTATCGGTTAGAATAACGTTCGAAAAAAAAAGAAAATTGTCGCGATTTTCTTTAAGAGCCATCTCGTATAAGCGACGACGAACATTGCTCAAACGTATGTCACAGAACTTGTTGAAACCGGTCATAAAAGAAAATATGGACATTTCGGAATAGAATGACATTCAGAAATTCAGTTGCTTGGTTGCTACTTTAAAATTCATACTTTAAAATCTTTTTGTTTTGCTTATATATGTTGTTATTATTTTGTACACATCTTTGTGAAAGTCAAAGTGAAAGTTTTTTCGCAGTAGTAGTGTCTGTATATCAATGTCAATATGAGGATCACGTTGCTTTATTTTTTCAAATAGTTTCACTCTAGCTAAACGATAGTTGGGACAATGAAGGAAATAATGTTCCACAGACGCGACTTGCCCCACATTGACAAAGGTCAGCTCCCTGGCCGATTATATGTCTTCGAAACAAATCACTTTTTAAGGCTGAAAAGTCAACTCTCATTTGTTGAAAAGCAATATGAACAGTTCTATCTATTCCTTTTACCAGTGGCATCTTTTCCACAATCTTATAATGTCGAAGAAGTTCATCGTTGAAGTACACTTACAAATTTTTCTAAGCACTAGCGGAAGCTCATTCCATAGTTTAATCGTTTGCGGGAAATAGGACGAGCAAAAAGCTTCGCTTCAATATATCGGTTGAATTTTACTTGATCCATTCGATCTAGTGTCATAGTTATTATTTATCATTGGTGTTAAATGATTACAAAGAAAAATCGGCGCCTGATTTGACACAATTTTATTCATTAATTTCAGTTTATAAATTTCAACTGACGCTTCTAAAACAGTCCATCCTAAAATTTTCCGTACTTTCTCTCGATTAGATAAGTGTAATGATCCTCATACCAACAAACTAGCTCTATACTGAATTTCATCGAAAGTGTGGATGTGTTTAATAGACATAACATGCATGTGTTATTATCGGATACATAAATGACTTATACATCTGGTTAAGTGTTGACGTGCTAAACGTTCTTTTAAATTATGCAGAAGTTTTGAGCATATGTCTGAGGAACTGCCTTATGCTGATCTCAGAATATTCAAAAGATTGAATAAATTTTTTATACAAATACATGACATATGCTGCACATGGAAAAGAGAAAAGAAAATTAATTATGTTCTTTGTTCCATAATTGACGTACGCTGTAAAAGTAATTGGACAAATGTCAAGCATTATTTCCTACATGTTCCTGATGTGCGAGTAGTAAACGAGTATCGGGTACTCGGCGAGTACTCGCTTGTGTGTTCTCGAAGTATCGCTGCCGAAAACTCAAAACAAATCGTACAGAGCTGTCCAACATCTTATTTTGTAGAGAAATGTTTGCTCTACCTTCTTACCGAGTCAGAAAATTTTTAACAAAGCAATTTACGAAACACCAGACTTTTGAAAAATATGAAATCGTTAGTCAATTACTCTCGATAAACTCCCGCGGGAGTCCCAGTAAAATCCCGAAAAATCTAAACAAAATTGAAAAATGTCCCGCGAGAGTCCCGGTAGGATCCCGTGAGGAGGGTCCCTATAAAATCTTCCCAACGAAAAATCGTAGACAGCTCGGAAACGTCTTGAATTAAATTTTCAACTCTTTTCTGCATTTTGAGATCACTTAGGACTCTAGAAAATGTAACCTCAAAAAGTTATGATTAAAACTCCGCTAGCTATATTTCAATTTATTTTTTGGAAAAGTGGATCTCGCCGTTTTAATCTAACTTTTTGAGGTTACATTTTCTTCAACGAGGATAAGAAAAGAAAAGAAAATCGCTATTCGTCGCAGCTCTAATAATTATTTTCGAGGATTTTTCATTCTTTTCTGTGACATATGCGGACTTAATTAATCTGTGCAAGAGATGTGTCTCAAAAGTAGGGATCAGCGGGGATACCCTGACTCCGGTCCCCGACCCCGACCCCGGCGAGGTGGGGTCGGGGCCGGGGCTGA